TTCACGTGAGACACACGTGGCAGCACGAAAAGAAAAGAGGGAGAGAAAGAGAGCCGTACATCGATTTGGAGGATGTTTTTGATGGCGAGGGCGAGAATGGAGGACTTGAGCGCCTCGCAGTAGGAGGCCACCTGGAGGATGTTGGAGAGGTAGCACCGGTGGGTCTCGACGTCGAGACGCTTGTGCGGGAAGTTGTGCTCCAGGATGTCCAGCAACACCGACGTGCTGCTCGGCACCAGGTCCTGTCACCGTTGTAAAAGAAGAAGAAGAAGACATGAAGGTGAGCGCAGGCCTTCTTCGGGGAAGAGGAAACAGTGTGGAAAGAGAGCAGAATGGAAGAGACACGATCACGAGCTGATCAGACGTTCATCTGAGAAATCTTTCACAACACCAACATGTTGTTTGGTGTTCGATATAAAGTGCATAATGCTGTCATCACTGGCGGTGATCGCGTTTGGATAGAAGAAAGAGAGAGAGAGAGAGAAGGTGGGAAGTGAAGAAAGCGTACTAGGATGAGGGCGATGGTCTGGTGGAGGTGCTTAGCGATTTGCTCGGTGGCGAGTAGGTCGTACTTCTCGCCTTCTGTAAAAGCGAGAACAAAAGAAGGTGGAGGTGAAGAGGTGGTTAGTCACTCGAGGTGAGAGGAGAGGTCGGTGAAGGGGAAAAGAAGGGAGGTAAAGATGATGATCGCGGTGTTCGAACTCGCCGACCTCAACGCGCCCTACCCAGCTGCCGATGTTTGTTTCTATCTTTCTGAGAGGAGGTCCTCCACTCCAACAAAATGAAGACACCAACACACCAAAAACTCGACCAGCGAGCGGTGATGATTCTGCGTGAACGCTCACGAGTGGTATCTCTTCAAGAGAGAGTGCATGTGTTGTGCCGCCTGAACGAACGAACGAACGCTTCGACGCGTTGGTGTTCCCGAGTCGTCGCACAAAGACGTGGATGGGGGAGCGCGCAAAGTGGTGGGTGGTGGTGGTTCGAAGGTTGGGCTGAGCCATCGCTGCGGGCGAGCGGACGACGTCGCCGTCTTCTTCTCCCTCCGCTCCTCAACTCCCCCGACAGTTGCAGCCGCTGGTGGCTGACCGAAGGAGGAGGCCAAGAACGGAGAGTCGAAGGGACATTGGCGTCGTGCAGCGCCCCGAGCCGGTCGAGTGTTTATTCCGCGCGCAAAGCTGAACGTATCACCGTTCAAGGCTTTTGGCTGCGGCGAGAAATGCACCCATCCAAGGGTCGGGACGCCGCGTCATCGCGCACCGCACCACTGGTCAAGGTGGTGCATAGCGCTCAGACTCGACGTCACCGGCCGATGGCGGTGATATGTATACAGGCCATGCAGATATGAATTCAGCGGGGAGGTTTCGCTTCGCGCTACTAACTCACGGCCGCCTTTCGCGCAGATCGGAGGTGGTGTCCTCGAGTGAGACCTTCACCCCACTTGTATGATGTGGTTGTGTCCATCCAGCCATCCAGTCATTGTCTCTCACACGTTGCGCAGGAGGACCCTTGCGACAAGTGCGGTGCGACTAAGTGTGTAGTAGTCGTAGAGCAGTGTAACGAGATAATCCCCCAGGGAGAGAGCTAACTGTTCATGCACGCGCGTACGGGGGAGGAAGAAAACGATATAAAATGGGAACGCCCACCCAATCCCCCGCTACTCGTAACAGTCCACACATCCCTCTCACCCTGTTCGCCTTGCGACGACCAGACGGCCGAGAGAGCTGTGCGAAGAGCTACTTCACCGCAGCAAGATCACTTTGGACAGACTTGAAATACTAGAACAGGTTCGAGCGAGAAGAGCGGAGGAGGTCGAAGGAAGATGAAAAGAAATAAAATGATAATAAATAAATAAATAATAAAAAGAGAAGTAGTGCGTACCGAGGGAGTTGTGGCTCCTGCGCGGAAGGAAGTTGCGCGCGATGGATTGGAACGTAGGGGCGAGATGGCACACATCCGATGAAATCAAGTTGAGTAGGAGATTGGCATAGGCCGATACGATTTCCTGTACAGAAGACTAGGCGCTTAGTGCTCGGCGCAAACGCTCGGGAAGAGCTCAAGTGGTGGTGATGGTGCCATACCTTGTCAGCAGCCCAATCGAATGCATGCAAGACATTGAGTAGTGCCTCGCAGTTTGGTGTCTTTATGAGGGATGCAGACTGCGGAAGAAGTTTGTGTGAGCAAGGGACAAGGCAAGTCGCCCAAATGAGGAAATCGCAAGCTGTACCTGAGTGAGGGCCTGCAACCAAACAAGTGGAATCGTAAGAGGTCGATCGATTTTCTCCGTACTTCGGAGTCCAGGGCACATATTTTGAATTACAAAGTTGTAGCCACGCTGATCGCCCTGTAAAATCACATCTCACATCGTCAGTACCAAAATCTATCTGTGCCAGCATGGGGGAGGCGGAGATGAGGCCATGCGGACCTTCGTTACACCAACAAGGGCAGCTTGCACTAGCTTTGCATATTGCTCCGTCGAACCACTAATTGGCGCGATTGCCTGATGGGCTGGAGCATTAACGACTGTCTGTCGTGCTGTTTTCATCATTTTGTTCTATGAGGTGCTCGGAGTGAGGCGAAGAGACTGAGCCAAGCCGAAATCGCGAGTGTAGAATTGGAAATTTATGGACAATGATGATGTGGGATTTGTGTCTGACTCAGTCGGAGGGCAAGAAAAATACTCATCCACACAGCGGAGTTCAAAATGGTACCATCCCTTCCCGGTTGTTTCTCGACTTTTTGAGATTCGGAGAAGAAATTACACTAGAAATTCAATTTGAAATCATTCGAAAAACTCGTTTGGACCAAAAAGAATTTCTTTGCTGTGGCGAAGCCCAAAACCACGAACACCTCACTCCCCTCTCACCTCCTGTCGGTCTTGCCGTTGCCGCGCTTGCCGGCGTAGAGATGCTTGGGCTTGAGGTTGTAGATGTGTCTGTCGGCCTCTCCCTTTCGTCCGTCCTTGTTCATGGTCCTCTGCGCCTTCTTGGCCTTGACCTCGACCTCCAGCTTCTGTCGCTTGTCTCGCAGACCCTCCTCCTGCGGGGTCTTGCTCCTGCCTCGCGACTTGGACCGCTCCACCGACGGGCTCTCGGAGCGCGACCTCTTCCGGCCTCGGCTCATGCTGCGGGCTCGGTCCACCGCAGCGCTCGGGTTTATGCCCATGTCCTTCAAATGGTCCTCGAACGCGCCCAGTTGCAGCTAAAGAAGAAGAAGAAGAAGAAGCGTTAGTGCATCGATGCGGCGAACCATGATGCAGAGAGAGAGAGAGAGAGAGAGAAACAAGAAGAAGAGAGAAGAGAGGTGGGATGTACCCTGCCGGTTCTGGAGGCCTGGGTGAGGTGGTCGGGATTTGTTGCCCTTTCTGAGGGCGTGCTCCATGCGGGTGAGGGCGTCCTTGTTCCTCAGCTCCTTGAGGAGGTTGATCTCGTCTTCGGTCAGGCGAAGGGCTGCTCCTCCTCCATCTCGCCCGCTTCGTTCTCCAGTCGCTCCTCCTCTTCCTTCTCCAGCTGTCGCAGCTTGACCAGGATGTCGGGATCGATGTAGTCGAACACGTTCATGCCGTTCATGATCTCCGGGATGTTATCGAACTTCCACTCGTCGTTGGCCAGCATGAACTGGTTCCTCAGGTCGGGGCCGAACACGGTGGGGTCCCAGTCGGGGTCCTCGGCCATGAGCCACCTGTTCTTGTGTACGAGGTCGATGGCGTTGGAGGTCACCTCACGCTCCATCTCCTCGGCGCCCTCCTTCTTGAGCTGGCGCTTCTGCACGACTGACTTGGGGATGACGGGCTTCCTCTGCCGGCTGTCGCGGGGGANCGGGGTGGCGACGTGGAGGCGACGCAGCACGTCGTCCTGCTTCACGGTGGCCAGCTTCTGATCGATACGCTGGTCGAGCAGCTTTTGGCAAGCCTGTAAACGGTGCAAGCGCGTTGCAACAGTGTCGCACGAATTCGATTAGCGAAATGGGCGCGGTGTCGACACAAACGCGCTTCGCATTCTGGTAGCCGTAGTGGGTGCACGTAC